AAATCTTCAAGGTTTTAGCAGACACTTGAAGGAAGTCAATGAAGCTAAATTATTGTGAGGATCAAATGACATAATGTATGAAAAAGCACTTTGTACAGTAGGAAGCACTCTCCAGAAGTCAGGCATCTTTGTTTTTATTTTGTGCTTATGGAATGTAGTCACAAATTACCTCAGAATGTCACCCGGCCCTTGGTGAAGTAGAGAAGACCATCAAAGAGATGAAGGACATAAAATATCTGGAAACAATGAAATCTTTAGCAAACAGCAGAAAAGCTTCTAAGTCAACACGATGTGCTCACCTTGAAAAGTAAGAGTGGGGAGAAAATTTTAAGAGATCTTCAGGATCTTATGGTCTTGAAAATAATTATAAGGAAAGTGCTATTTGGAAACCATAGAAGCATCAACTTCATATATTTTCCCACTGGAAAAATCCTTGTGATCAAGATTTCTTCTATATCTTCTCCTTCCAGTATTTTATTGTAATAACAGCAATAATAACTCATATTTACAAAGTGCTTTAAGGTTTGCAAAATGCTTTACTTCTATCTCATTTGAACTTCAAAAGAGTCCCGGGAGGATTGGTAAGTGCTGCAATAATATTATCTCCATTTTATAGATGAGCAAAGTGTAAAGCCCAGAGAAATAAAGTGAATTGCCCACATCACACAAATATTAAGCTCTACTTGGGAGATGATCCATGATGTTAGAAATAATACATTATTGTATCAATAGATCGAACATCAGTGATTTCATCATAATTGGAACTCTACCATGCCTGGCACATAATAGGCACTTAATAAATGCAAGTTGACTGACTCAGATCACAACTCATCTGTAATTTAGTAGCTAAGTCTTTAAAAGTGTAGTTATCTATAGATTAGAAGTGGCCAAAAAAAAAAAAAAAAGGCAGGCACACCGACAATAGCAAATAGTGACAGTATCTTTGACCAACCTACCCTTCCTCATAAAATCTAACAAAAATTTTTTGAAGTCCAGCCTTTTGGAGCTAGTTTACATGTGGGGCAAGCACCCTGAAGGCATTCTTGTGCAGTATAATAATTGATATTCAATGTGGTAATACTGAGTCATCAGGAAAAGGTTATGTTGCATTTAGCTTGCCTAGTTGAAGAAGGCGGAGGATAAAATTAGGAACAATGGGTGGAAATTGGAGAGAGGCAGATGGCTCGATGTAAGGAAAAACCTCCTAACAATGAGAATATGATGTGGTCATGGATTCCCTCTGACTAGTAGTCTTCAGACAAGGGCTGGATGACCTCTTGTTGGTTGTGTTATTGAAGACAAGATTCTTGTTAGGGAACAGATTGGGCTAGATTCCCTTTGAGTCCTGTCTAACTGAGATTCTGTGAGTCTTTGATGCTCTCTGTACCGCATTTTGGAAAGATTTTCATTCAAAATTATTTAAATACAAACAAATTCTTTTTTGATGGTTTAATGATTAAAAAAAACCACTCCATTATCCAGAAAACTGTTATTCAGAATGGTGCCTTCTCCAAAGTTCTGGATACCTGAGGTTTTGCTTTAGGTGCCCATGGTGACATTGTAATAATTGAGAAATCAGTCAGATACAAAACACACTTGTTAACTAAGTCACTACATAATTGACTTTTGAAAGGAGGAAATAAGCTAAAATTCATGGGTTTTTTGGCCCCCTTTCAACACTCAAGACTAATTTTGATTTTCTAATATATGTCACTTAAATTTAATAGAACATGGGCTTATCTTTTTCTATTACCCACACTTCCATTCCCTTCTTGCCCTAACAAGATGGTGTGTTTATTTATTCCCTGAGTGTTTATTTATTGCTTAATTTCCCATATATTCCAGTTCCCCTCGAAGCCCATTCTCAGGGGTCTTCTAGCCCCTTTGGGCTCCAAGTTGCACACAGAGGAGGTATGGAGTACCAGCAGCAATATCTCTTCTTTTCATCCATTTGGGAATAGGATAGAAGTCATAAAGCAGAGCATAGGAATAACAAAGATAGACAAGAGACTAATAATAATGTTGTAACATTTTAGGTCATGCAGAGCGGTTTCACATAAATGACCTCATTTGAGGTAGGCAGGGCAGATATTCACATAGTAACAGAATCTCTGACATCATCTTGTTCAACCCACACCTGACCAGGCCTCACCTCTACAGCATACCCCAAATGTGAACTTCTAGGCTCCATTTGAAGACTCTCAGAAATGGGGAGCTTCCTACCTCCCAAGGCAGCCTGTTTAACTTTTCAACTATTTTAATTGTTATAACCTTTCTTCCTTAAAACACACACACACACACACACACACACACACACACACTCACAACTTAAAAGTCTAGCCAAAATCTTCCTTTCTGTGCCTTCCACTATTGCTTCTCTTTCTAAGCCGCTAGGACTAAGTAAAATAAACTAATTCCTTCTTCCTTTTCTCATGCTGCTTTATCTCTCTGCAGTATCTAATGGTCCCCTTCAGTTGGATGCTCTCTTCTCTCTGGGTTTTCTTGATCCTGCTTCCTCCTTTTTTTCCTTCTGTCTCTCTGACTGATCCTTTTTAATCCTTCTCCATTCATGACACACCTATTACCTATGGTTGTCTCTCAAGGGTCCATCTTGGGCCCTCTTTTTTTTTATCTCTCTATAGTTGGTAATCTTATCAACTCCCATGGGTTCAATTATTACCATCATGCAGATGATTCCCATATCTTTTTCTGTAGCTTATGTTTCTTTCCTGAGCACCACTGTGTATTGTTTATTTCAAACTGGATATCACGTAGGTGTCTCAAACTCTACGTATCCAAAGTAGAATTCATTATCTCCCCTCCTCCAACTTTCCCCTCTTCTAGACTTCCCTATTATTTCTGAGGGCATTACTGTCCTCCCAGCCATCTAGGTTCATAGCCTCTGTATCATCCTTGACCCCTCACTCTTACTCATCCTCATATACTGAATCAATTGCAAAACCTTGTCATTTCTATCCTCATAGCATCTCTTTACTCACACAGCCACTATCTTAGTTCAGATCCTCATTGCCTCTTGCCTGGACTATTATAAGAAGGCTGACCCTTATTCAAGACTCTCATCAATTCAGTGCAGGCCCCATGTAGCTGCCAAAGTGTTTTTCTTAAAACACAGGCCTGACCATGACATCTCCCCTTTTCCTTTTTTTTCAACCTTGTATATTATATTTATATTAGCAGGATCTTTATTTCTACAGTAACTCATGCCTTTGTTGTATATAATTTCTTTTTTTGTACATTTTTTATTTGTTTTAAACTTAAATGCAAAATAAGAAAAGAAAACAAAAACATTGTCATGTATACAGCAGAATATAAGAGAGGATTCAATGTAAAACAATAAATTTCCATTTCAAGAAAAACTATGTAATAAATACTACACATCGCTTTCAAAGCTGCCTAGCTTTTCTTTGCTTCCATGTAGGTTTTCTTTTTTTCTTTGCTGTGAACTTTTTATTTATTTATTTTTCCTCCCTCCCTCCCCCTTCCCCCACCCTAAAGAAGGATACAATTAAGCATGGAGATATATATATATATATGTATGTGTATATACACACACATACATATATACATAAATACACACATATACATAAATATCTATAAACCCCACACATACACTCATATACATATATGTAAGACTGTACTATGCTTATTTCCACTTGTCATCTGTTTCTCTGAAGGTGAATAGCATCTTCCTTCATAAATCCAAGTCTTTCCATGTTTTTCTAAGTCAACCAGCTCCTACACCACAGCAATATTTCAACCTAGTCACATCCTGAGAAATAGTCTATGAAAGTTTTTTTTTTCCCCCAGTTTTCTACATTCCTTCTATTCTTGGCTGACCAGTCAGAATACAGCAGCACTATAACCTCACCTGTGTTTCCATTAATGTGGCCAAGATGATATTAGTTCCTTGGCTTGTCATGTCACTCTCTTAACTCATTGAGCTTCCATTCCATTAATTCCCTCAGATCTTTTTTACATCAACTATTGTCTACCCATACCATCCTTATTCTGTACTTGAGCATTTGATTTTTTAATCCAAGTGAAGACTTTCCATTAATTCCTAAATAATTTCTTATTAGAATCAGCCCATCCTTGTAAAGTCTCGATTGATTAGATTTTTTTGGATCCCTTTTCTAACACCCATTGAATTAGCTATCCTTCCTTGCCATGTGACATCCACAAATTTGACCTCATAAGTATTATTGGCAATTAGATAAGAGGTAGCTGGGTGATGTAAATAGAAGAGGTCCAGAATTTGTAAGAGGAGATGGGGGATGGACAAGAAAGCTTCATGTAGTAGTATATTATCACAGAGAGATGGGGTGACTTAAAGTGTGATGGAAACAATAGTAGGGCAGCCAGATTTGAGGATCTATTTTTTTTTAGGCTAGTTAAAAGCAAGGAAAAATAAGGTGGAAAAAGAGGTTCTTTAACACTTCAGATTCCACTGAGTTCCAATTTTTTGTTTCTCCCTTCCCAATCACTCAGTACCTCCTCTTTAAAACAAACAAAAACCCCCCAAAACCATGTATCTGTTTGATACAGTTTTGTGAACCTGAAATGTTAGCTGAGTAGTGTTCATTAGAATTAGGAGGGTTCTTTCTTTTACTAACATCAGGCTTCAAGAGGGAAAATGTGAGTGAGTGAATTGTGCCTCTGGAGAAGAGAGTTCTGTTGCTTTTTTGTCTGCAAAAGAGGAATGTCAAGGGACAATTGTTTCTTCATTGCTATGAATGTGAGCCTTGTGTTTTCAAAGGTCAGAGACACTGAGCACATCATGGCTAGAGCTCGTTCCTATGGTAATTAGGCCATCCTGACTGAAGGCATTTTGTGTTTGAAATCAGGAAGCTGGGGTTTCTCCCGTGGTCGCAGTGTATGCTGGTTTCCTGCAAACGTAACCATTTGATTTTTTGTTTTTGTTTTTTGTTTTCTTTTCTTTTTCTTGTTCTTCTTTCATCCCTCTCCGTGATACCCCTTAGATCTGGAGCCAGAAAATTTCCCCACAGGTAAGCTTACTTTTGAACTACCTGTCTCATTGCATTCCATTCGTGCCTATGGAAAAGCCCCCTGGAACCAAGGAGAATTCCTGGTGACCCGGAGTACTCTTTCATCTTGTAGATGAGTGGAGACTGTCCTCTAACGCGGATACCAACGGAAATGCCCAGCCTTCTTCCCTGGCTGCCAAGGGCTACCGAAGTGTGCATCCCAACCTTCCTTCTGACAACAAGTCACAGGTAGGCAGGCATGTGTCTGAGGGCTGGGTGCAGAGAGGACAAAGGGCGCTGTTCTGTGCCTTGGGTTTAGAGGCGCAACTGCCTCAATTGGATAGGTCCTAATGTAAGCTTCTGGGCCAATGGAAACTCTCTCCAAGAAAAGACTACAAAAGAGTTAGGAGCTAAAGAGAAGTGAGGGTTGAATAGTTAATCTAATGGTGCGGTTCACTTGTGTATCCGTGGGGATTTGAAATGTGCCATCCTGGTTCCTTTGATCTCCCAAAGTTTTTAATGCTTGGAAAAAAGTTCTGGAAGAGAGTATTTTTAAAAGCAAATGGGAAAAATAATTCAAGCTCTTTTTAAATTTTATCAATGCCTGTATTTACATGAGGGGTAGTCTTGCGATCACTATTAATTGTCTAGGGTTCAAATCAGTCACTCAGTCAATTGACATTTATTATGTGCTAGGGATACAAAGAAAGGGAAAAAAAAAGAGGAAGAAGAGAAAAAGGAAAGAAAAGAAGAGAAATAGTTCCTGCCTTCAAAGAGCTTACATTCTACTTGGGGAAAACAAGCTGTGCACAGCTAAGTAACTATGACCCACATACACAATAAATGCAAAGTAATTGTGAGGAGGGGAGGCATTAACAACTGGATAATCAGCAAAGGCCTCGTGGAGAAGATGCCACGAGCTGTCTACGAGGCAGAGAGGAGAAGGGACAGTGTTCCAGGCATGGGGATCTGAGAGAGGGCAACAGGCAAAGGCACAGAGGTAGGGGATGGAATGTTATGTCCAGGGAACAATAGTAAATAGACCAGTTTGACCAGAATGAGGAGTGTGTGAAAGAGGGGTAATCAGTCTGGAGAGGTTGGAGCCCAATTGGGAAAGGCTTTACAAGGACTGCGGCTAAGCAGAAGCTGCATTTGGAGTTCCCATGGATCCCCCCAACCCCACTTCCCCAGATCAGGGCCTGCTGGCTTTCTGTGCAGTCTCCTTGCTCTCTCATTGCTCAGTGACTGGGGTCAGTAAGAAGTAAGAATTAGCACTATAGGTAAACAATCCCAGCTATGGTTTCTGACTACAATGGAGGAGGGGAAGGGAATTAGCATTTCTGTATCACCTGTTATGCGCCAGGCACTGTGCTAAGCACTTTACAAACATTATCTCATTTGATCTACAAAATGATAATGTTTGAAAACTTTAAGCTTTAACTGATAAGAAATGGTAATAATTATGCTAAGACTTGGCTCCCTCAAGCTTCTTCCTATTCTTTCTCTCCCCACCCTTGCCAGCTGAAAAAGCCCACCTCCTACAGGAAGCCTTCCCTAACCCCTCTTAATTCCAGGGCGTCCCCTCTCTTAATTGCCTCCTGTTTATCCTGTATATATCTTTCTTTGTCTATATTTCTTTGCAGGTTTCTTGTCTCCTCCGTTAGACTGTAAGCTCCTTGAGGGCAGGCACTGTCTTTTGTCTCTTTTTGTATCCCTAGCACTAAGCATAGTGTCTAGCACATAGTAGGTGCTTAGTAAATGTTTATTGATTGATTAAACATACTAGCAATCCTTGACCAAGAAAGAAAGGCAGAACCCATTTCTGGGTCTAACCCCCACATTTATAATATGTGTTATTAAGGATGATGATGATGATAATGATGATGTCTAGCATTTATATAGCACTTTAAGGTTTGCAAAGCACTTTATTTACATCATTCCATTTAATCCTCATAACAACCTTTGGAGGTAGGTGCTATTATAATTATTCCCATTTTATAGATGAGTTAACTGAGGCTGAGGGAAGTTAAATAATTTGCCCAGCATCCCACAACTACTAAGTATCTGAGGTAGGATTTTCCTGATTCTAATTCCATCTCTTTCTCCACTGTATCACCTAAATGCCTGATGTTACTTCTCCAAATGGAAGCTGTGCTTGCTAGTTGCCAGCCAGTATGGCAGCAATATGGGTGGATAGTGTGCAACAGCAGCCAAGAGGGGCTAGACCGCTCTGTACTCGTCCTTTTTCTGAATAACTCCACTCCCCTCTGCAAGCTCCTTGACAAAGCCATGCTTTCTGTTTCTTTTCTTTCCCCTCGAGGACACAGACAAGTTCACACAAGGGGTGTTCAATATATATTGTCCATCACCTGGAAACTTGGCAGGTTTTTTCTCGAGTTCCTCTCCTGTGGCGATTTGCTTTGGGTCTGGAAATTTGAGTAAAATGGGGTAATGAGAAGCCCATCTCTCAGAACTTGTGAAGGTTGGCCAGAGGTAATCTATAAATAATATATTTAGTAAACGTCTACAGTGAGTAAAGCATCATTTTAGGTGATGGCGGCATAATGAAGTTTATATGAGACAAGAACCTGCTCTCGAGGAGTTTATAATCTAGTAGGAGGGTATGATGCTAACACAGATTATTACAATTACACAGCAAAAATAAGTACACACATAATAAGTACATTGGGGGGGATTCTGCACCTCTGATTTCATTGGTTTGGGAGAACTTCTATAACGTGTGGAAGTTCCCTTCACTGACACAGAGAGGCAACTCCTCTGGAACTCATGATTTCAGAAAGTTTCAAGGAACACTGAAGGGTTAAGTGTCTTTCTCTTAGTCAAACAGTCAGTACATGTAGGAGGTAGGAGTTCAGCTTAGGTCTTCCTGACTCCAACTCCAACCTTCTCTTCACTGAATCATGCTGCCTAAGAGCTTTAGAGAACTGAAAATATTTCTTAGAGCACTCTCCCACATCCCTGCCAAGTGGTGTTGAGCATCCCAAGTAAGTAAATACTATTGTTCTTTACCCTGCTTCTGAGGAAATGAAACGAACAAGCCTTCTGCATCAAGTGGGAGAAATCTGAGATGTCTTTCTCTCCTCTTCATAGTGATGAGAGTTTGGCCACTTTCTTGGTGCCTCTGAATTGAAATAGGTGGAGCGACCATCTCCTTATTCCTGTCTGTCTACATAGATTAGCTGTTGAAATTAGCCAATCAATGAATATTTATTGAGTGCCTATCGTGTGCTGGCAACGCATGCCAACATGCTCTAGAATTCTTAAAATTGCTTGCCACTCAATAGTGTCTGTTTATGCAATTGGGATGATCGAAAATTACTTCCTGGCATGCCATTGTTAAGAATCATAGACTCACTGCTGAATCTCTACAGGTATCATTGTGTTAAGAATGATCGATTCATAGACTGTTGGGGTTTAAAAGGCCCTGAGAGATACTTTAATAAAGCTGCCATATTGTACAAGTGAACAAACTGAGACTTAGATAGTTGAAGTGACATGAGAAGTCAAATATATAGATGTTTACCCAATGGGTAAAGTTCTCAGTATATTATCAACCCCCTTCTCTGAGCCCTGTCTTCTCATACAAAGAAGGGGTTTAGACTAAATAATCACTTAGATTCCTATCAGCCCTGAAAGTATGTTCTGTCTCATCTCAGTCAGCTCACACCCAGATAACAATGGCCATATCTACACTGTGGAAATAATATTACAATCTACATAGAATTTACATGCCTCATATGTACTCATACACACACACACACACACACACACACACACATACACATACATGCACACACATAAACCTTAATAATTACCTTAATGCCCAAAAAGACAGCTCATGAATGCTAATAATGCCCTTTGGCTTCATAAGCAGCTACACCAGACAAGTTATCTCAAGGGACCAAAGTGAATGGTTGGCCTAACACAGATCTGCTTAGGAAGTGGAGAGTTAATTAAATTGCTTGCTTCATTTGCATATGGGGTGGCTCTTCTACTATTGCAGTATTTTATTACTTGATATCACTATTCCAGATTTATTTTTGCTACCCACTCATCTGTAAAGAAATCATTGGTTTTATTAATAGATATATTAGTAATTACTGGTAATTAATATCTAATGACTATTTAGACTAATTAATATTATTATTAATAGACATACTACCAATAGACTCAGTGATTCTTGAAAATACAAACTTGAGAGAGATGAGTAACAAATCTTTTTCCAAGTTCGTGTTTTTAACAATAATTTCTTTTTTCTCCTTCCCATCCTCCTCCTACCAGTTTGTTTTGAAGGAGGAGCAAACTCCTTGCCCCCCCCCCCCATGCTATTGACACGCAGGCAAGGGGCAAATAAAAGGTGGTTACCCCTGCCGGATTGTGGGTGTAGCCTCTGAAGCAGTTTCAGAGCTCTCCAGACTCACTGTCCCCTACCTGTCTCCCTATATGAGTGAAATAGGGACGTGGAAATTATGGGGTGAGATGGAAGAATTCTGGTGCCTTGATGTTCCAACATATCAATTTTCCTGGCTGACCAGGTTGTGTGTCCTCTGTCAGGAGAGAGGATTGCAGAGCTGACCCAGTCATTCTCATCCCGTGGACCCCATCACTTCTCTGATCCCCAGCCAAGGCAGTGGCTGGAAGATAGAGGATCGTCCTAGTCGATTTTGCTTGTCTGTTCATATTCTCCCAGAATGACTCATTCTGATTTAAGTCTAATTTACACAACCTTAAGAACTGTGGGGTGTGTGTTGGGAGCAAGTGCACCTTTCCAGTTTCAAAGCACCTTAATACATTCAACCTATTTGAGCTTCACAATTATTCCGTGAAGCATGTGGTGCCAATATTATTATTCTCATTTTACAAATGATGCTGAGGCTCAAGAAGGCTAAGTAATTTGCCCAAATTTGCTGTCATGCAGCTAATCCTGAGGCAGATCTCCAGCAGATGCCTCATCGTTCCGAGTCTGGGGCTGTTTCTCTCCTTCACTGCTTTACTTAACCCCCTTCTTCTCCCTCCTTCTTTAATGGTACAATAAAATAGGACTTTGGCTTTAATAGTCACTGACAACCATATCCAGATCTCTGGGGAGTATGTTTTCTAAAGGAGCAAAGAGCTATGAAGGCTTACTGCTTGATGTAATGCATCCCTGAGGCCCATATATGGGCACGGTCAAATTAAGTTAAACACTCACTGAAACTGATTTCTATCTTTGGACAAGAAGGAATCACATATGGAGAGAAACAAGCTTAAAATGAAAGTAAACCGAGGCCAGGAGAAAAACTGCCTGCTCCCTAGCTCACTGAAGCCTTCCTCGTCCAGCCCAGTGAGCCGAAAGGGATTCCTTTTTGTATGGGAGTCAAGCTTTATATTCCTGGAGATTTCCTATTTAGCATGGTAACCTTTCCCCAGACTTCATCCTGATTTTGTGGAGCTTGCAGTGTTATACTGAAGACTCTCAGCTCTTACAGAGTAATGGGGAAAAACTGCTTGTTTTGTGATCCCTGTTGTGTGGCCCTGAGTTGATGACCGCAGCTGCCATTACATTGTGATAATGACCCTAGAGAGAACTGTTTGTAGTTATGTGCACCAAAACTCATAAAAAATGAGCCAAACCTTCTCTTCTTGTCACAAGTTCCTTTAACATTCTCCAGCCTCCCCTTCTATGAGCACTAATTGTTGCTGTTTTTATAAACTTATAAGGTTGTGCCAGTAGCCTAATCCAGGGTTATATAGCCTTTTTTCTTGTATTCATTACCTTTTCCACTGGTCCCTTGCCCAAGAACTCTGACCATAGACCTTCTGTGAGACTGTGAGGCCAAGGTACAATATACCTCTTGAAGAGGAGCCTGGCTTGAAAAGAGGGGTAAGAGCCTGGGTTTTCCTACAAGAAAGAGTCATTCCAGCCACCTTGGTCATAGTCTGGGGCCTTCAGCCCAGAACCAAAGAAAGTGTACTTCCTGCAATGACCTCTGATCTCCTAGCAGGATACCTAGTTGAGAAACCAATGGAGAGCTGATGGCCCTGGCGAATGATCCCCTCTGATTCACTCTGACTTCAGAGTCTAATGCCTACAGCCATGAGGAATTGTTGTATGTGGTTTAGAGAGCAAGTAGGGAATATCACAGGTGTACCCTTTAAATTTCTCATTGACCAGTTAGATCTCACTGGCCTCAGCTGTTCTCATAGTATTGACCATGGTCACTTCAGGACAGCCTTCTCCCACCTGTCTGTTTGATTAAATTGCCACCAACATCCCTAGACCTTTTTATAAGACACTGGGCAAGAAGGAGACCACATGTGCTTCATTTCAGGTCTGTCTTTCATCATTATTCTTGTTATTATTGTTGATCTTGTTATTGTCAACAGTAACAACAATACCACGTTTAGTAGTAACATTTATATAGATCTTTGTGGTTTATGAAATATTTTAGGTGTATTATCTCTTTGATCCTTCCAAGGCACCCTACGTGGTAGGCGATGCAGAAATTATTATCCTCATTTCAGATGAAGAAAGTGGAACTCAGGGAGGCTGAGTTATTTGTCTAAGGTCACATCAGAGTTCATACCTAGACTGTCCAACTCCAAGTATAGTGGAATCAGAGCATTGACTTTCCTATGCAGACTTAATTAATTGGTTCACACGTAAAAAGAGGTTCCTTTATCAATTTTGTGAGAGGCATTTTTGTACATTGCCTAAGCTTGCTGCACTTGGAGTTAGAAAAACCTGGATTCAAATTCTAATCTCTGACACGGTATGTGCTTGGACAAATCACTAAACTTCTCTGAGATTCAGTTTATGCCACTCTCTAAGGCAGCTAAGGCCCTCAAACACTTGCTAGCTGTGTGACAAGTCACTTAACTGCTATCTGCCTCAGTTTCCTCAACTGTAAAATTGGGATAATAATAGCACCTACTTTGCCCAGGTTGTTCTGAGGATCAAATGAGATAATATTTGCAAAGTCCTTAGCAGTATCTGCATATAGTGGGCACTTAATAAATGCTTATTTCCTCCCTTTCTTTCCTTTTTTACTTCCTTCCTTCCTCTTTTCTTCTTCTCTGCAAAGTTACAGATGAGTTGCTTTTTGCATTGATATAGGGGTGTCTTTGACAAATAAAATCACAGATGATTGAAGTCCTTGAATCCATGTCTTGGTAGACTTTAATTATGGCGGTGGAATATAAGTGGAGAAATTGATAGCTATCTTCTGTGAATTGGATTGGGGCCTATTGTTTCCATTCTCCTGCAAGGAAAAGAATTAATTTTATTAATTGAGTGGTTGGGGTAGGGGAGGGAGGAGTGGCAGAAGAAATAAGGAAAAATAAATATATTATATTGACCTTTAATCCCATATACAGGCCCTCTGGGCCTTTGGTTTTGAAGAATATCTTGAGGAAAATTGTAGGTCATTCAAGCTCCATCTGGTGAGGGACTCAATAACTTAATTGAGTGTGTCAATCCTGGGGGGTGCTTCTCTGAGAATCCACTTTGTGTGAACGTCCAGTAGATACCATCCCAAATATGCCTGGGTGAGTATGGCTAAGAACTGAAGAATCTGACTTTTGGCAAGACTGGGATTGGAGGACCAGAAAAGGGAGCGATTGTGTTGTTTTGTTTTTTTTCTCGAAGATACCATGATCTTTGCTTTCCTAATGTAATGCTGGAAGAAAAGAAAATAACCCTTGCTCATTCTAATGACCATCCTCATTCTTTCCACCCTTTCCTCTTTATTTTTTATTTTTGTATTTAATCTTGAATCTGATCCTAAAGGTTTCCTCCCCTCCATGCCCTCCTCCTCCAAAAGAGCAAAGCTTTGCATGGCGACCACACACTGAGGCGAAGGTTTCCTCATCACCAGTGCCCTTCAGGGACTGTGTGTACCTGAGTTCACCGAAGCCTTACATGCCCCAGAGTGCTTCTTTCCAGCAGCGTCCCTCCTTTCCCCCAGCTGTGTCCCCCTCCCAGGTAGCCAGCACAGCTCCCAGAGTCACAGTGTATGCTAGCCAGGCATTCTTGCCCAGGAGCTCCACGTGCCCTGATGCGTCATCCCCATATCAGAGCCCCTGGGAGGCTTCCAGGGCAGAAGATAGCCCTAATGTGAGCTTTAATCCCTGTCACGAGGCAGGAAGGGATAAAAAAAGGGTCAGCAGCTTATATGTCGCTTGTTTATCCAACAACACTGTTCCCCCTGCATCTGAGAACTCCCCTAGGCTTGCATGTGACCAAACCCAAAGCAACCCTTTGGAAGACCAGGTCATCGGAGCACCAGCTCTTGGCACTGTGTCCTCCTTGCCTAGCGCTGAACCATTACGCCTTGCTCCTCTTCCCAATCCTTCCCAGCTGTCCTTTAACGCCATCAGCGGTAGTGATGCAGTTAGCCAGGGTGAAAGTCCTCTTCTGGGGACTGAGTCTCCTCTCCCAGAAGCAGTGAGACCACCTGTGCTAAGTGCCCAGATTCCTTCGGGCCAAGGAACCCTGAAGAGAAAAGAACGTTGCTTTCCACGACGGTGGTATCCAGCCAAGGCAAGGAAATGGGAATGTTTGTGCTTCCTCCCCTCCTCCCACATCTGTTCTTTATTTCTTTCTAACTGATGCAAGCAGCTAACTGACTCATGCTTCCCTTCTCATTGTTAACATTTCTGCACCTTGAAGAATGAATTTTCCTATCTAAGAAACCTCAGCACGGTATTTCCCCCCTGTGAATGTGTGCGTGTGGTGTTTGATCCACGGTCTAATGCCACTTTGGGGAGACACGAAGTCACTGAGGCTTTCCGAGGGTATGGAGGAAGCCACCGCTTCACCGACTGAGCTGTCTGTGCCTGACTGGGTGGGGGCCCTCAGAACATGCACTTGGTGGGGTTGTTAAACATGGCCCATCTGTTGTTCTCTTGCTCTCTCTCTCTAACTCCCTTAGAGTTAAGGGAAATTAAAAATAGATGGATGGAAAGTAACCTTGGATGGAGTTTCTTCTGTGTCACGCAGCGTGAGGATGCCAACAGAAGTTCTTGGCTTGCACTGACTGTCTCATGAACCCCGGCTGAAGGGCACTGATAAAATATTTCTGGTGGCCCATCATTGCATGTCACTTCACAACTGTGTAAATGTGGAATTCCTTCTCCCGTGCCATACCCCTCTGCATAACGACACCCTTATTTCCCACAGGACGCTACTTCCTCCAACACAGCTCAGCCAGGGATTATAGTAGTCCCTCTGTACCTGGTTAACACAGACCGAGGGCAAGAAGGCAGATCCAGAACACCACCACCACCTCTGGTGGCCCTGGACCAAGTCGCCACATTCCCAGCGACCGCCTCTGCTGGCGCGCCTCTGACCTTTCCGACATTAGATGATTTCATTCCCCCTCATCTGCAGAGGCGATCCCACCATCACCAGCCAGCCAGTCCTTCTGGCTCAGGTCCCCCCGTTAGCCAGACAGCACCATCACTGTGCTCTCCACCTCCTCCACTGGTCCCTCCAGTCCCAGAGGCCCCGCACAGAGTCTCGAAGCCTGACCTCCCTGGAGCTGTCTCAAGTACAGTAAGCTTGCCGACATTCCCTCCTCACGGCTTTCCTAAGTTTACCCTCCCAGCAGTAAGACCGCTCTTTCTCACTGGTCTGGTCTGCTACGTTCTGAAGGGGAGGCCTTGGCTGTTACTACCCGCCCGACAACTGAAGCCTTGTTTGCTTTTCCTAGAGTGCATGTCTCCTGTGTTCGTTCACTTGGAAACTTGTGGCTGTTGATTATCTTCTGAAGTCTCTCTCCTTTGTCATGTTCAGAACCAAATGTTTTTAACTCTTGTTTCCTGAGCCGAATTTATAGTTCAAAGAACTCTGACTTCCTGTAAGATTAAAAAAAAAAAGATATCCAGCATTTAGAGAGCAGGTTACGCTTTATAAAGCACTTTATATCCTTGATCCTCATAGGGGTGAAGAGAAGGAAGAGAAAAAGCATTTATGTAGTACCTACTGTGTACCAGGCATTTGCAAATAACATCTTGTTTGATCCTTACAACAACCTTGGGAGATAGGTGCTATTATTAGCCCCATTTTACAATTGAAGAAACAGAGGCAAACAGATGAAATGACTTGTCTAGGGTCACACAGCTAGTAAGTGTCTGAGGCTGGATTTGAACTTGGGTCTTCTTGACTCCCAGCCCAGCACTCTATCCACTGTGCCATCTAGCTGACTTCTAAGCACAGGTACAATTATCTCCATTTTAAAGAGGAGGAAACAAAAGCTCAGAGAGAAATAGTGTAGTGCTTGGTGTGTAGCAGGCACTTAATAAATGATTTTTGACTAACTAATAATTAATGGCAGCTCCTTAGTGCTTTAAGGTTGACAAAACACTTTCCCTACATTATCTCCCCCGGGCCTTACAACAACTGTGTGAGGCAAGTGCTCTTCTTGTTATCATCCTCACTTTACAGAATGAGGAAACTCAGCCCCAAGTGGTAAGGGAACTGACCCAGGCTCACACAGCGGAAAGTATCGGAGGAAGGATCTGAACCTGGATCTCTCTTTACCCCCAAGTCCATGGCTCTTTCCACCATATCCCACTGCTATCTCTTGTTTTGATTGAGACTGGTTGCACCTGAGGGAAGTCAATTGTTGTTCAGCTGTGTTCGACTCTTTGTGACCCCATTTGGGGTTTTGGGAGTGGTTTGTCATTCCTTCTCCAGCTCATTTTACAGATGAGGAAACTGAGGCAAACAGGGTTAAATGACTTGCCCACAGTCACATAGCAAGTAGGTGTCTGAGGTCAGATTTGAACTCAGGAAAATGAATCTTCCTGACTCTAAGCCTGACGCTGTATCCACTATACCACCTAACTGCCCTATGGAAGGTCAGACAAAAGTACTATGATTGAGACTGGGGTAAGAATTTGGCCAGAGGGCAGCTAGGTGGCTCAGTGGATAGAGCACTGGCCCTGGAGTCAGGAGAACCTGAGTTCAAATCCGGTCTCAGACACGTAACACTTACTAGCTGTGTGACCCTGGGCAAGTCACTTTACCCCATTACCTATCCAAAAATAATAATAATAATAATAATTTGGCCAGAGATGAGCCAATTCCTATCAAAAGTAGAAAGAAAGTTTTATAGTACTGTTTTTCATCCAAGGTTTGAAGACACACCAGTGTATGCTGGGATGACCAAGACAAGAGATAGATTCACTTTTGTGTTAACAGCCAATAAATAAGCCTTCTTTGATACTTAAAAGTGGCAGCAGCTGAGTGGGGAAGATAATGGAAAATGGAGGGATTCAAGTAGAGCACGGAGTTTAAATCAATAGGTGAATATGAAGCGATGAACAAATCTTAGGGATGTATTCTTTAGAAAGACAGGAAATAGCTAAGGCACAGCTTACAGGAGTTCATTTTATGCAAGCAAATTGACTAGTGGTTAAGGTAGAGGGTTAGGGCACCTTTGGTCTCATCCATGAAGGACTCTGTCCTTTTTACACCCAAGAAAACAACTCCAGAGATAGCATGGTATAGTGGATAGAGTCAGCTGGACTTAGAGTTAGAGAGACATGAGTTCAAATCCCACCTTAGACACAATAACTGAATGACTCTGGATAAGTCGCTTGGACTCTCTGGACCTCAGTTTCTTCATTTGTAAAAATGAGGGGGAGGGGAGTTGAACTCAATCACCTTTTAGGTCCCTTCTAGCTTTACATCTGTGATCCTATTGTATATGTCAGAGGAGAAAGCTTGGGGGAGGATACTTTGGTTTGCTGTCTCCCCAGAGTTCCTGGGAATTGTGAGCCCCTTCAGGGTCCCCAGCAGAGCTCTGGCCCTCCCATGTGGATCTAGATACCTAAGTTATCACTGCATCAGTGCTCATCAGACATTGTTCATTTGTGAATTCAGAGACCTTCAGGATCTTTCACCTTCAAGCTACCCAAATATCCCTTTCCTACCAGGAGGGTAGAACTGGAGTATTGCTACTGCTCCCATCCCCCAGTGCCCAAGGAAGGCATTTTCCATGCCACTCCACTCAGAGAAAACAAGAACACATAGCTATCATCACTTTAGCTGTATAATTGTCCCAGATATGCACCAGCATGTGCCACCTTGTCCAAAAAAAAGCAATTGCTTAGAGGTCAACCTGCTAATAGTACACCTCTCCCCACTTGGGTAGGCTTTGGATAGTAGATTTATCCTATAACCAAAATCATTCCCAAACCTGGTAGAATCTGTCATGACTTACTCCCCTCTGGCATCATGGCCTTAGAGAACCCTGGGTCACTGGCCATGTTAAAATGAGGCTATAGAAAGACCTTGGCAAAACTTGGACAGGATGAGAAGGATGGATTAAGACCTACATGAATGGAGGATACAGATTCAGGAACAAGCTCAAAGATCTATTGACTTATTAAAGCACGTCCCTGCACGGTGTCTGCCTATACTCATGGAGTCGTGATATCCCTTTTGGCCTCTCCAGAGGCTCTACAGATATTCCCTACTGCCAAGAGGAACTCCACATGCTTATAAAATTCTTTTCAAAGCAAGAAGAATCCTGGTTATTCACTTCCAACTTTTCTTTCAGCCTGGTAAAATTATGTACTTGCAAGGACAGAAGCTGCAGCATTCCACAGCCCTGTTTGTGGCAACTGCAGTGATACCGGTGATTCCCATCAGGCCGGAGATACTAGAATGAAGACAAAACCGGGCTCTTCCTCCTCCTCTGGCTAAATGAAATTCAAAAATCTAGACCCGGGTCCCATTGGCTGTTAGTGAGCTGTAGTCACACTTGCCACTTACTGCTTGTGTCACCTCAGGCAAGTGACTTAACCCCAAGGTCTTAAATCCCTCATCAGTAAAATGAGGGAGCTGGATGAGATTGCTTCTGGGGTCTCTTTTGGCTCTGATATTCTATGATCCCATGGGAAAATGAAGCTTGAAGCAGAGGTCCCTTCTGTCATCTAATCAACTGATTAAGCAGTCATGAGAATTATGTTCAATACTGACACAGCTTTAAAATGAAAAAGCTTTATGTGATAAAATTAGCCTAAGTAGTTAAAGTTTAGTCATGCCATTTCCCCTATTTTTTTTTTTTTTAGCAGAGAGCAGGAAGGAAACTTTTGAAAATTCAGAGCATCAGGGAAATTGTAGTGACTTCCCAATTTAAAAAAAATCTCGACAAAGCAAAAATGTCAAGATAGCCAGCTACATAGATTCCTCTGCTAATAGAGTGGTCCTTCAGAGTCTTTGATACAGCATAATGATTAGACCAAAGAATGCTCATGAACTGAATCTACCCTGCCCAGCTAATATCCTTTGTCAGCTGCATTGAGAAGGACGGGCAGGACCAACATTACCATGCATATCATGGTGCCCGTGTAGCATGGAGATGCCTGTGCCAACCTATCTCCCCAATCTTGCATGGGGGTAATTGGAATCATTCCTATGCATTTTGGAGACCACAAGGACAATTCACTTTTCACAGAAATTTTTACTACTGAAGCATTAGCTGTGTGTGAGTTATGTTTTTGGTCATTGCATTACATTTTAAATGCACCAGGAGAGCTTGATATACAATAGAATCCTACCACAAATCCTTTTGCTAGCTGTACCATGACTTACTTGCGTGTAAGTCTGAATTTTTCCATCCAGTTTGTTTAAAGTGAGGACTATGGTGATTATAGAGTATGGCCAGAATGAGATGGTCTTGATTTCAGAAATCTATCTATATCACCTGAATGCAATTGGGCTTTGCATTGGCAGTGGCACATAGCACTGGATGTTGTTGGATTTGGCCTCAGGAGAAATTTAAATGGAAAACAGAGACCTCATTAAAGTGGGTATGCCTCCTAAATACGCAGATTCCAATCCATCCATGTCTGCCCATTCTGTGGGATCTTTGTCCTCGCATTATTTTTAAGTAGGAAGGAAGGAATAAACTCACATGTTAATAGATCCAAGATATTCTGATATCTTGTAGTGACTTGTATAGCTTTTAAAGGATAAAAACTTTAATAATAATAATAATAATAATAATAGCTGGCATTTATATAGCACTTTAGGGTATATAGTGCTATGAGCTTTGCCTGTGTTATTTCATTTGATTCTTATCATCACAATAAAAATAATAATAAAAAAATTAAGAGCTAGCATTTATATAGTGCTTAAGGTTTATAAGGTCCTATACATATGGTATTTCCTTTGATCCTCACAACAACCCTGTAAAGTACTGTGATGAAATTGAGGCTAGGAGTTTAAGTGACTTATCCAGAGACACAGAACTATTAAGTATCTGAGGCAGGATTCAAACTCAGGTCTTCCTGATTCCAAGTCTAACACTGTGCCACCTGCCTGCCTTCACCCCTAACTTGAACATGTGATCAAAAGATCTTAGATTTAGAGCTAGAAAGGATCTTGGAGGTCATCTAATCTAACTACCTCACTTTACTTTTGAAGAAACTGAGGCCCAAAGAGGTTGTGACTTATCCAAGATCACACAACTGTGTTTGTCATGAATACAGAGCCTAGTTGGAACACAGATGCATTGATTAAAATGCCATCCCTCTTTCTATTGTTGACTAGACTGTTTTTACAGTATTTTTAAGTATTTCTGATACTGACAGAATACATGTGAGTTGAGAGGTAATATGGCAGGGTGGATGATAGGCTGGATTTGGAGAGAGGAAAATCCAGGTTCAGCTCCCAACTCTGACACATACTGGCTGTGTTGGCTTGAATAAATCACTTTATATCTCAGTGCCCCAGGCAGCTCTATAAAAGCCTCTAAGTTATAAACAGGTTGCTGGTCTGTATCCATGAAGGAAGGTTCCACACCAAGTGTTCCCCACATTGACAAAATAATTGGTTTGGATCAACCCTGAACCCTATATTGGACATTTTATATGTTTTCAAGGGAAGTACTTTAAAAGTGCTAATTTTTGTTGTTGTTCAGTTGTTTTTCAGTCATGTCCAACTCTTTGTGACCCCATTTGGGATTTTCTTGGCAAAGTTATTGGAGTGGTTTGCCATTTCATTCTCCAGCTCATTTTACAGATGAGGAAACTGAGGCAAACAGGGTTAAGTGACTTGTCTAGAGTCAAACAGCTAGTAGGTGTGTCTGAAGCTGAATTTGAACTCAGGAAAATGAGTTTTCCTGACTCTAGGCCCAGCACTCTATTCATTGTGCCACTTAGCTGCCCTTTATTTTTTACACAATACCTTTGATAAATAGGTACATGATACCTCTCAAAACAATTTCCCCAACCTCCTCATTTACAAAATGAGTAAGGGAACAGAGGTTCAGAGAGAAAAAATGTCTGTGCCCAAGGATTCACTGCTAATAGGTGGCAGCAGGCGGGACAAGAACCCAGGTCTCCTAGCTCCTAGGACCTCTTTCTACTTTGCCATGTTGCCTCAGAATATGAAGATCCTGCTGAGAGTTAAAACGTTTTTATAAATTATTTATTTTCACAGTATTTTCTTTTTTGGGGGGGGGAGAACAATGCTTAGAACTATGATTTCATGAAACTTGGTTTCTCGTTGTGTGGAAACTTCCTTCACTGATGCAAATCTACAACTCCTCTGTAATTTAGTCCTAGAGAGTTTCCCGAAACACCGGGAGGTTAAAGGATTTTTCCATGGTTACACAGATGGAAGACTTGACCTCAAGTTCTCCTGCCTCTAAGGATGTACCTCTATCATCTATTCCATATTACCTTTCTTGGAAATAGATAGAGACAGATAGTAGGACCTCCATTTTACAGATGGAAAAACTGAGGCACCAAGAGATTACAAATCAGGATTAGGGATTAGGAGCCAACATCATGGGGTCAGTGGTTGAGGTTCATGGGCCAGGGCTCTATCCCCTGGACTTTCCAACCTTTCCAAACTAATATGATTAAGCCAGCTTACAGTCTTTTAAAATCGTAGGCAGATGTTCTCTGCCCAAAAATGTTGGATGAAGATGCAACATCTTCATTTATGGGTTGGAAAAACCACAATGGGTCTGGATTTTGTCTGTCAATGTACATTTATTATGCACCAATATTAGTCGTAAGCTCCGTGTCAGACACTGTGGAGAACACAAAGAGACATAAAACATAGTCTGTGTCTTCAAGCTTATAGTCTGCTTGAGATCTTAATGGAACCTGTTTTAAACTCATATTCATTTTGAAAATTTCATTTTGAAACTACTTGAAGATCAATATTTTGACCTCAGGGATTCCAGATTTTTCCTATAAAACTGTGTTAGATTTATACATTTGTTTACCTAGGGAAGCAGATAAATCCCATTTAAGCCATTTTGAAAGGTTTTTTTTTTCCATTTCTTTTTTAAAAGACCAATTTCGTCTATTGTTATCACTATACCAGTTATTAGATGGAAACTAGCTTAATAGTTCTTTCTACCAGAGTCCAGGCAGGCCAGTGTCCGTACCGAGATTTGGGTCAGGATGGCTCATGTATTTTTTTCATGTGATTCTTATCAACAAGATCCATCCCCCTGCAATTCTGAGGCCAATAAAAGGAGACAGAAGTCTTGGATAATTTCCAGAACTTGGAACACAGCCCTAGTGAAATCTTTCGGGGATGATGCGGCAGGGGTGCCCTTCTAAGGGGTGCCGTTGGTTATATGCCACCTGTTCTTGGGTTGATGTGTCAATGTCACTCTGTCTCATGTTTCTGTCCATGATAGTACTAAACTTTTCCTGGTTTCCCTCACTAAGCCAGCTCTTACCCCTGGATTTATCCATTCAAAAGTGCATGAGTTTTGCATGTTATATTGCTCTGAATTTGGATGTCCTTTTCCAATAATTAGATGGATTCATGGCTTGTTTCCAGGTAAAAATTGTGTTTGCTATAACTTAAACTTACAGGTCTGTCATCACTTTCTTCATACTAATAAAAGGAAAACGATCATATTAGTATGTTTCTGATTGAAATTAACAGTGAGCAGTATGTGTAATCAAGATGCTTTGTTTCCTTATTTCAGCTACTGCATTTCTTTTTATAATTACAGTACTCCTGGCTTTAAATTTCTGTTTGTATCAGCCCCAATTTTATGCTTTTATCAGCGGTTAAAATGCATTCTTCTTTACAGGGTGCAGATTCTCTGGTAAATGAAGTTTCTTCGCCCCGCGTTGGGACTGATTCCCAGATTTTCCCACCAGTCAGCAAGCCTTCATCTGCTTACCCTTCCACTACCATCGTTAATCCCACTATTGTGCTTCTGCAACACAATCGAGGTAAGGAAGCGTGACACTGTGCCTCCTCATTTTAATTACAGCTGGTTTGATGGGGATTTGTGGTCTTGCAAATGATTTCTGGAAGGCTTCCTTGCCTGCCATGATACTCTCCATGAGTGCCATTTCCTTCTTTGGCACTAGCTTTGCCATCTCCTCTGTGGCTACCTGACACCGTCTGCTAGCTCCCATGGCCTTCCCAGAAGAATAGAGCAGCCATGACAAAAAGAGGTTCATCTTGAAATGATGGCGAGTGGACTTCTGTCTGCTCACACAGCCGCCACCCTGGTTCAGGCCCTCTTCACTTCATGTTTGTTGCAAAAGCCTTCTAACTGGTCTTCCTGCTTCAAATCTTTCCCCACTTCAGTCCATCTTCCGCTCAGCTGCCAAAGGGATTTTTCAAAAGTGTAGGTTGGCCATATCGCATCCACCCCTTCCCAGCCAATAAACTCTAGTGATTCTCTTACTTCCATGATCAAATATAAACTCCTCTCTTTGGCATTGGAAGCTCTTCATAACCCAGCCCCTTCTGACCTTTCCAGACCTATTACATTGTACTGTCTCCATGGATTCTACAGTCCTCCAATACAAATTCTGACCTGTTTGCTGTTCCTCACACACAACTCTACACCCTATCTTTATGCCTTTGCGTTACCTGTCCTTTATACCTAGAATGGTCTACCTGCTTACCTCTGTTTCTGAGTTTTCTTGGTTTCCTTCAGAACTCACCTAAAAGCCTACCTTCTTAATTCCTTACCTATATATCAGTTTGGATTTGTGTAAGAAAAGTGCTTAAACTGTTCATGCCCTTTGATCCTGCCTCCTCATTACTGGGCATATAATTTCAAGGAGGTCAAAGACAAAAACAAAGATCTGGAATACACCCAGGTCATCATAACAACACACTGTGGCAGTAAAGAACAGGAAATAAGTAGGTGCCCATCAGTTGGGGAATGCCTGAAAACAAACAAACAAACAAACTGTGATAATGTGAATATAATAGAATATTGTTGTGTTTTAAGAAATGACAGATATGAGAAATTCAAAGAAGCATAGAAAGTTTTGCATTATGAGAGGCACAATAAAAAAGCTAAATCAAAAGAACATAATACACAATGTCTAAATCAATGTGAATGAAAAGATCAGCAAAAGGAAATGGAACTCGGAGTGATTGTGAAACCAATGATTGTTTTGGATGAATAGGTAGTGAAACCTATTCCTGTCTTCCATGGCAGAGGGGTGGGGGATGATAGGACAGGAAGTCCTATACATTTCAAGTTGCTATCACTTTTATTAGATATTTTTGCTTGTTTCCCTTGGTTACGAAGGAAGATTCAATCGGCCAAGAGAAGTGATTTTATCTCCTCTTTGAAATGTCAAAGGCAGCAATAAAACAAACAAAAAAAAAGGATTGCAAGTGGCTCTATGGATATCAATCTAGTATACAATTGTACAATTAGACATAAAAAGAGTTGACAATCAGTTGGAGCAAGTAGGAATGTGGATGTTACCAGGCTCCTAGGAAGAGTTAATCAGTATAGCTGGCCATTGCAAAATGAGGAGGGTGGAATAGATGAGCCCTAATCTCGCTCCCAGCTCTGAATTCTATACGCCTATGAATTCAGCTGGCAGCTAAAACAAAACAAAAAAATGCAAACACACTAGGTTATATATAGTTCTTGTTTTCTGAACAAATAAAGCATACAAATTTATTGGGAGGGAGTTTTTCTTGGCACTAAATTTAAGCAAGAATTTATCATGTTACCTTATATAACAGTTATATAATGAGTGAATGTATGAATGAAAAAGCATTTATCAGGCACTTACAGTGTTCCAACCCCTGGGGATGCAAATACAAAAGTAAGGACCATCCTTGCCCTTGAGGACTTATATCCTAGTAGGGATAGTCTACACTTATAGAGGATAGGGGGGTTGGGGAGGGAAGTAGATCAACATAACCTTTCCATGCAGCAGCCATGTCAATATTGAGTGGATGATGGAAAGGTGGTGGTAGTGGTGGTGGAGGAGAAGGAAGTTGCATGTGTATAGTCATGAAGTTGATGAAAAGACGATGGGAGAGTGAAATAAAACATGGCTGGAGCCAGATCTGGATGTAATAGGTGACTAAGGCAATCACAGATCAGGACAAGTGGGTGATCAGAGCTGGACTTCAAGATGTAAAAGGGTGAAGTATTCTGGGCATTTCTGGGACCAGTGACAAGGCAGTTGGTGAGAAGATGTCTGGGGAACCATTCTTCCACTATGGCTGTGTGAAAGCCAAATATATGTTCTTTGAACACTTCATATAGGCTTTCTACAAAAGCCGAAGACATAACATTAACATTCAGTAAAGGTTCTTCTATGGGGCTCTGAGGGTGTGTGTTTTGGGTAAATTGTTTTCTAATGATTTTGGTAATACAAGGCTAGAACTTAGAGAGCCAAACAATGAATAACAACAACAACAACAATACTAATAATAGCTAACCTTTATATGGTTCCTACTATGTACCAGACACTGTGCTAAGTACTTTATAAATATTATTTCATTTGATCTTCATAACAATCCTGTAAGGTAGGTGCTGTTATTTTAGCATTTTAGTATTTTATTGTTTAGAGTTGTTACAGTATAATTTAGTATTTTGTGCTTGCATTTTGTATTTTATAATTGAGGACAGCTAGGTGGCACAGTGGATAGAGTGCCAGGTCTGGAGTCAGGAAGACTCATCTTCCTGAGTTCAAATCTGACTTCAGACACGTACTAGCTGTGTGACCCTGGGCAAGTCACTTAACCCTATTTGCCTCTGTTACCTTGTTTGTAAAATGATCTGGAGAAGGAAATGGCAAACACTCTAGTATCTTTGCCAAGCATATCCCAAATGGGGTCTCAAAGAGTTGGACACGACTGAAACACCAGTCAACAACAATTTTATAGTTGAGGAAACTGAGGCAGACAGAGGTTAAATGACTTATGCAAGGTCACATAGCTCATGTCTGAGGACAGATTCGAACTCAGTTCTTCCTGACTCCAGATACCATGTTCTAGCCACAATGCCACCTACCTTGCTACCCATGAAGAATTACCTTGTATATTAGGTTGTTTCTTCCAAATCTCAGCAGTCTAAAATGAACTTTTGGTAGATGTTGGATCACAGTCAATACCTCTCTGAGGAGTACTCTGAGTGTGGATATTCTGTGCTGATTAAAGAGGAATCCACATGTTTTAGATACCAGATGAATGGGAGGCAGAGTTAACATTCTGTTGAAAAAAAAGATGAGGAGCCTGGCTTGTTTTCTCATCCAGATGGACGGCCAACCCACTTCCTTGTGGAGGAGACCTCATAAAAGGAACTTGGAATATGCTCCGAAACATGGATGAGTATTTGATCTGGCACATTAGCAATAGACTCCATCTCCCCTTGTCTGCCTCAATATGAAAGGCTCAGGGACCTTAGCATCCTCAGTTCACTAGAATCCAACCTACAAGTTCTGAGCAGGACTGATTGCCAATGGTATGGTATGCCTGTGCTTCATCTATTAGAATCAGAACCTACCTAGGTGGAGGTAAAGTCGTCCCGTTGTATGTATCCTTTCTGCACTGGATTCTGTTCTCCATCTACTCATAGTCAGGTCATCCAGATGTGGGATTCAGTTTCTGTACCTTGAGGTCCTGGACTGGATTGATGGAACTATTAAATATCAGATCTGAACATTTTAAGCAGGAATTATTCATCAGTCACCTCACCTGTAAAAGGACCTCTGAATGACTCTAATAAACCACCTAACTTTGAGAGATGCATATAAATGAGCCCTCCAGGATGAATTTGCTACCAAATACTCCCCTTCATAGCAGATAGAATTGATTTGTTGGGTGTGTATTCCATCTACATGAAAGGAAATATCTACCAAATGCAACCACTTTTGCGCAACTGATGCTCTACCAAAGTTCTCCTCAGATAATTTATTGTGGTATGAATGTAGTATTGGGATCTCAAAGGCTCAGTGGAGTACACTTTGGCCAGGTCCTGTCAAGCGAGAAAAGGTTTGAGGATGGGTCCTCTAGTTGACCTAAGAACTAGCTTAATTAAGTTTGGGGAGAATCAGCCACCAGATTAGCTATAGGTGATGGCTTTTTAAAAAAAATCTTTTGAATTCACAGAAATTCCTGAAGGATGTCTATGATGTCAGAGGGAATTGTGGATTCATTGTTTCAAAGGAACGGGTACTCAAATGGACAAAATCACTCACCCTTAATGTATTAAAGAATATGCTAAGAAGCTCTTTCTGATAATAACTAGTCATTGCATCTGTTCCAGTTTGAGATAATAAAACCATGGCATAAGCATCATAGGAGAAAGGGGTTTCTTTCCATTTGAGATAATCAACTTGGGTTCTTTTTTAGCTTCCAGTGATTTAAACCAGTGGTTTAAAGGGAGTTGAATTATTAGGTCTACCCAGAGAGAACCTTGGAATCTACAGGGTACAAGTAATTGGGGAGATCATTCAACTATATTGTTAAATAAAATAACATATCCAAATATCTGTGGATCAAAAGATCATAGATTTAGGGAAAGAGGAAGGTTATAAACATTTACTAAACACCTACTATGTGCCAAGCACTATTCTATTGTAATTTACAAATATTATTTCATTTAATTTAGAGCTGGAGAAGGCCTTGATCCAACCCTTTCATTTTAACAGATGAAGAAACTAGATCCCACAGAGTTTGTGACTTGCCTGTTGTCATTCTGGTAGTGAGTACCAGAGCTAGACTTTGAACTCAGATTTCCTGATTCCATATCCATCATTCTTTCCACTGAACCAAACTGCCCAGAGATATGTGCCTCTTCAGATACTAGAAAGAACAATAAATTTGGGGGTCAGAAGACCTGGATTTGAGTCCCAACTGTCGACAATTTACTAACTTTGTGACTATTTGGGAAAGTGACTTCATGACATTGGCCCATTATTTCATCATCTCCAGGATGAGGAGGTGGGACTGGGTG